ACTGACTTTATAACCTGAATCCCTGTGTAATAAACTTATTAGTACATAGTCAAGCTAAAAGCTTGATTTTTTTTGTAACAACTAGCTGAGTCTCAGCCAATCACAGCAGAAGAGCTTCAACCAATCACAGGCTCAGAACATGCCCAAATAGTGCAATCGCCAAACTGGAATCAAAAAAGCTGTGTCTGTTCCTCATTTCCATTTTCTGTCCATAAATGCTGCCTGCCTATGAACTCAACCATGAACTCTTCTGCTGTCTAATTTGTAAATTATTCCTTGCTCAAGTAAATTCTATTAAAGTTACTTGTTGCAAGATTTTGTTTAACAATATATGGTATATGTATGTAGTGTGTTACATTTAAATTTTATTATACAATTTTAAAACAGCTATTGATAAGGATAAAATACAGAAGGTATAAATTAGCTAGTACCTCTGAGATGTTGACATGTATTTGAATGGGGTAAATAATTAAACAACCCATTATTTTAGCTTAAGTTTGTCAGATGAAATCAAATTAGAGTCTCAGCATAGAAGCAATTTTTAAGGTCCATCATCAAAATGATTTATTTAGATGCATTTTCAATAGTTTCTAATTTCAAAAGAGGCACACATTTCTCTTTTTGCATTCCAAGCAAGTCAAGCAGAACCCTTTATGATTTGAGAAGCAATTTTCTCATTTGCATATTCTGGATGTTCCATTTAAATTTCTTGTCTTGCTTTTGTCTGTTTAAGCTTTTATTAATATTACAACAATTTGCATTTTTGTCCCCATAAAGAAGGATTTTTAAAGTGTATTTTTGTTGGTTCTGCTTTCCCTCAACACAATGGCATCTGAGCATGAGAAACTATTTTTTAAAGTTTTCTATTCACTTCAGCACTATAAGAAAATATTTTTAAAATTAACATAAAAATAAAAGCCTATGCATGTTTCTCCTGAATCTGAGCAAAGAAAAAAAATGTATGCAAACATCAATCTGGTGAATTTCATTTTTGGTCCCCATGTCAACACAAGATGGCCACAGCAAAACCAGATCATTTGTATCCCATCTCACAAGAGTATTTCCAAGGCACAAGATCCACTAAAATTGGAATTCCATTGATTGGTTTCAGTCACATGCTCATCCTTGAAACTGTTCTAGAGGGATGAAATTTGCTCATTGGTTTAGGCCTAGGTTACAACTCTGTTTCTTAACTGAACCTTGGAGCCCACCAAGCTTCCTGGCCAAAGGGTATAAAAGTGTTGTAGCCTTAAATCCCAATTAGAAATGATTGCTAGAATGAAGAATACGAACCTCAAGATGGCCAACAATCAATGTTTTTATCAAATATTCACATTATTTTGAAAAATCAGTTCAAGTTTCTTTCCATGACTAGTTGGCCAGTTTCTGAGGGCTGGGTTATTATCACAGCCCCTGACATACAATAGGCATTTAAATAGTGTATTGGCAGGCTTTGTCCTTGAGTTCCTTCTTAACATAGCAGGCAAAGAGACCCTGTATAGCTATATCAGATGATATCAATCCCTACATCTTTCTATCTCATGTCTAGCAAAACCTAAATTCCTTATAAAGTCCAAAGAGCTTTTCACATTATGGTCTCCCCATTCCCTTCCGCTCTGTCTTCTTCTTCTGGTACTTCTTTATCTGGATCTCTGCTCCAGCTACCCTGGTCTCCTTGCTATTCTTCCAAAATGCCAGACCTTCTGCAGGTGGCCTTCTGTCTGAAGACCTCTCCCGTCAATCAGATCTGAGTTCACTCCTCTTCCCCCAGGTATTCCCTGGCTAGCCTATTTCAGTTGAATCCACCCTTGTATGAATGTCTGTCCTTCTTTATTTGTCTTTTCTCCATAGCATCATCTAAAATCCTTAGGGTAATTATTACTGTTCTGATCTCTAGAGTATAATGTTATTAAGGCAGAGGTTCTGGATATTTTTCTTCATGACTGTATTCCCAATTCTGTAGTGCTCAATAAATATCCATTGAAATAAAGAATATGCTTCTCTTATTCATCCTCCAATAACAGGTGCACTCCAACTCTGCATTTCAATAACTTTCTCCATCATTCTTGCTCCTTAACGTGGGTTAACTTCACTCACTCTCAATTCCCTGATTTCTGGCACAGAGAATATGCTCAATAGATAAGCAAGTAAAGGTGTATAATTTCTTGAGTGTACATTAGCAGTGAATGCTCCGAAAGATTTCAGGAAATATTACATCATATTTTGAAATTGAATTTTTGTTATGCCAATCTTGGAGCCCTTGGATCATCCCACACATGAGAAGTTATGTACATGCCCAAATGAACTTGTTCTAAATCTAACCACATCCTCGAATTTTCTTCAGCCATTTGTCTTTCAGGGCCCTTTCCCTAACACACACACACACACACACACACACACACACACACACACATCCAGACTTATTTTATCATCAAGTAGAGCATATTACAGCAATAGATTTATTAGCATGAACATGCTGGCAGGGAATGGAAGACTTCTGTTACTTTCACAAAGCTTTCTATAGAGTAGAATAAGAGGCACAGGCCTGCACAGACCCAGCAGGAGTGGGAGGGAGGAGGTGATGTGGCTGCTCAGGATTCTGGGGCTTCCTCTGGCCCCAGCACACTAGGGTGGACCTACCAGCATGACTCAATTTGAAGCCTCCTCAGAAGATTTGGCCAACTTTACTTCCTGCTCCAGTCAGACTTGGCTCAACAACTGAACAGGCCAAAGCCTGCTAAAGAGCCCATTAGCAGATTCAACAATACACAGATAGGGAAGAGAGGAAATAAGGCAAGAACTGAACCCTTCTGTTAAAACAACATCAATTCCCCTTAATGTCATCCTTTATAAACAAAGCTCCCATGGAAGACTTGTGAAAGGTTTAAAATTCTCATGAGGTTTTTCTGACCTGAACACAATTTTATACCCACTGACAGGGCCATAATAATGTCAAAGTTCTGGTAATTATGAACCTAAATATGTTAGAGCATCAAAATTTAAAAAAAAAATTAAAAGAGGGCCCCAAATAATCTGATATAATTGCTCGAGTCTATTGAGAATATAAATGAGTGGTTTGGATATGTTTGTTTGGAAGTTTGACTTAATTTTTAGAGGAGAATATACCTTTATAATTGCCCCATGAGTTGGAATAAAGGCCAGATACATATGGAAACACTCTAAGAAACTCATTAGCCTCCACTTCTGGATTTTAAACCTTCTAGTAAATATTGACTTAAAATTTTTGAGTCCTATCAGGCATCAAGCATAATGGCACTTTCTAAGTTTCTTGGACACTAATAATTATACCACTAATATTATGTGCTTACTGTGCTCCAAACAAGACATTCTATGCTGTTGTAGAGAACTTGCTTTATCTTCATGACAAGCTCTGTGATTTAGGTAACACCATCTATTTATACAGCTAAGAAAATGGAGCACAGGGAATGTAAGTAGTTGTTTTCAGTCACACAGCTAGCAACCTGCAGAACAGGATTTAAATCCACATCCTGTGGCTTCTGAATACACACTAACCATCATACTTTACTTCTTTTCAGTGGATACCAATCATTCTTAGCAATCACTGAGTCCTTTTAGCCTGCAGACTAATGATCCTTGAGTTGGAAATAGAGGCTCTTAGATAAACATTCACAGTACATGCTCTGTTCTCTAAAAGGAGATCCAAATGACATGTTTCTGCCAGCTGGAAGTGTGTTGGACCATCTATGTTTCCTTCCCAAATTGCCATTCTTGGGCTTGGCTCTTTCTGATTAGAGGCCACATTTATTCTATCTGGCTCTTGGATCCTCCTGTCATATCAGAAAAGTGGCATTGCTTGGCACTTCTGATGTTTCAGACTAGATTTAGGACTTGTTCTTCTTGGTATCATCCAGGATTGGCCCTGATTTGTATTTTACTGTGCTCTGCAGCTGGAGTACAACAGTCTGGAGGCCTAGAATGGATATGAATATTAACAATTCTATTATCAAGTGCTCCATATGCTTGTGTCTTGAAGCCCATTTGGTCATAGCCTGTTTTCCCCTCGTGGGCTCTGACCAAGATTGCTTATCTTAAGAAACATTCCAAATGAATACTTCAGAACATTTTCTCAAAATGATTGAATGCATCCTTAGGGACTTTTCAGATTTTTCCAAAAAGTTATAATTGTGAACCAGACTTTGCAACACACAGCATGACAAATGTTATCCTCTGGCCTTTTAATTTTGTTGAATTGTAGGATAGAGACATATTCAGATGCTACTTCTGTACATTCATCCTAAGCCAACCCGTGGATTGCTGGAGGAGATAGAGTAGCTACTTCTGTCAGCTTTTTTTTATGTCTAAGCTGTGATTTCATGAGCAACAGCACACTGAATTACTAAATAGGAAGAGTCTCTCTCTAGAATTAGCTAAAAACTTAAAAGACTATTAAGAACTTTTAGAGTAAATTTAGTAATATTTGCTAAATATAAATTAGGTATTATGTAGTGGAATAGACTACACAGATATAGGAACAAATAGTAAAAACAATGGTCAATAATTTCCATCTCTTTCTATGCTAAGATTGATACACTAAAAATTTATTTCATCTAATTGTCAGTACTATATATATATATATATATATATATATATATATATATATATATATATAAGAAAATCCTATTATCTCCAGCAAAGTAACTTGTTCAAAGTCATATGGGTAATATTTGGAAAAGCTGGATTCTTTTTTCTTTTTTAATATTTTTTTAGTTGTAGTTGGACACAATATCTTTATTTTATTTATTGTTATGTGGTGCTGAGGATTGAACCCAGTGCCTCGCCCGTGCTAGGCGAGTGCTCTACCACTGAGCCACAACCCCAGCTCCCCCCAAAAGCTGGATTCTAATTCTGACTTTAATGTGCATCCAGAGACCTCAGCTTGAACCATTTTCAGCCAATATATTTATAGAATAAATCGATGTGATATGTAAATAAATTATTTTAATATTGTTTGTACTTACGCCTGATCTGTGGGTTTCAAAGGCTCCTCTTTGGTAGATACTCTCCTATTCCATCAGTGTGGCTGGGGTCCAATGTTCAGCAGATAGTGTGGTACCTCACAGTGAGCAACACTGGCTTTCCTCCCTGGTTGCATAATGCAGGAGAACTGACAGAATATCCTGCCCAAGACCATATGACCTTGAGTTTTGTATGATAACTTCTGGTGATTAAAGCTACAAAGCAAGAGGAAAAATGGCTATTTACTCCTGGGAAAACTGAAGTGTGGAGTCACAAGCTATTTCCCCTCTATGATTGTTTCACCATTACAGGTTCACAATGGAGCGTCATCTTGATGCTTTAAAATGTTTTCCCTAGAGACAGGTGAAGACTGACTACCAGAAAATACTGTCCTTAGTGGGTACTGCTTTTATTCCTTTTCAGTTCTTGGAGCTATTGGCTAATGAGTAAAATCCTGCAAAATAGTCAAAAATAAAGAATTGTGTAGGTCTAAACTATGAAGTCTAGACTTCATAGTTTAGACCTACACAAATATAAAGTCTAAACTATGAAGTTTAGACTTTTATATTTTATCTTATTCCAACCCACATGCTCCAAGTCCTGGCATGGTTTCTTCCCAAGGTCTGGGTGTCACACATGTACTAACTTTTCACAGTCTCTCCTGGACCAAACGTGAATCAGACTCCCTCCTCTTAGTTCTCTTTTTGACTAGGCTTGGGCTTGCACTGTGATCATAGACTGTTTAGTCTGGTTTTAACAAGAATCCTGCTGTATCCATTTATGGGATATCCCCACCCTTAATATCTTATTACCCTGCCTGCCTCCAGCAAGCAACTTGTCAAGTAGATCAGTAGGAATTCAATCCCCATAGCTTTATTCCTCCTAATTTTCTGAGTACTCACTCCCACCTTGCTCCTTGGCTATTAATCTCCTTGTCCTCATCATATACAGAACTGAGCCTGATTTCACTACGCTACTATGAAACTTCCATTACAGTACTCCATCTTGAGTGAAGACTTCTTTACCATCTTTAATAAGCATCATGAAAATTTTTCCTTTAACACTTTTTAATGTCCTTCTGTTTTTTGAAAGTATCTTTTGAAATCAGCTACTCTTATAAACTTTGATTAATCATAACAGATGTGCCATTATTTCTGCAGAAATTTTAAACTTTATATCATTAGTTTTTCTAATTTTCATGAAAACCAAAATTGTTAGAGTCTGTAAACAAGTCAGGATGGCTCCTGGCATTTTTGCCAGAGAAATGTTAGAGTCTGTAAACAAGTCTGGATGGTGCCTGGCAAAATGCCAGAGGGAGTGGTTTGTGAAGTAACAGCAGCGAGCCATTAAGTGTGGAGATTTCTTATTGGTTGACTGATGTATCTAGTTTATGCTAATTAAGATAAGCTGTGTGGAATGTATAAATACCGCTCCTGTCCTACAATAAAGGCTCCCACTCCTGCTGTATCAACGTACACAAGTTGCTCGTCACCCCCCGGTTATTTTGCTGCAGCCGGACTGCGGCACAAAATCAATGATTTTTTTTAAAATTTTGATTTATACTTAGTAAAGTTGCCTAGAAATTTTTATAAATATCTGTCCTGAACCTGTCATGTTATCTGAGTGAAGTATAGAGATGAACTCCAGGTAATGTTCAGTTGTTTTTGATAATGAAGAAATATTCAACAGTATAGAAAAAAAAATAAGTCTACTTAAGTAGAGTCAAAGTTAACAAATGAAGCAGCTTTAAATTCAAAAAGAAACAAGAAATAAATGATGATCACCAACTATTAGGGCTCTGATCAAATTGTAAGCTTATTCCATTTTCCTAAACAAAACATGCCAATGAAGGAAATTAGTTTTAAAATCTTTCCAATTAAAACACTTCGTGGATTAAAGGTGCTGTTTTGCTAGGTGTGGTAGCACATGCCTATAATCCCAGCAACTGGGGAGGCTGAGACAGGAGGATCCCTTGCAAAATAACAAGGCCCTAAGCAACTTAGTAAGACCCCATCTCAAAATTTAAAAAATAAATAAATAAGGGCTGAGTGTAGCTCAGTGGTAAAGTGATTGAACCCCTGGGTTCAGTCCTGATATGTTCCCACCTCCACCCCCTGCCCCTCAAAAACAGATGTTGTTTTGAAAAGCTGCATTTTTTCTAACTTCCTGAAAATGTGCTTTGATAGATTACAACCAGAAGAACTAAATACAGAAGATGGATCCAAACAGATGAATTGCTAACATTCCAACCTGCTGTCTTAATTTGATAATTTAAACCCCCTCATGCAAGTATCCTAAACCACATTTAAATTATTAATTATGGTTAATAAGATAATGCAATAAGCAGGATGTGTTAGTTGTCATTCTAAAAGGCTTGCATAACTCAATGAGGATTTCTGGAAGTTAGCTTTTTAGACTTCAGGATCCCTTCTGTTTCTTCCTCCTCCTCCTTCAAGAATTTCAAGGGTAGGAACAAACTCATGCTATTTAAACTCTATCTGAAGTCTACCTTTGACGTTGGCATAAGTTGTATCGGATATTATTTTTCATTGTAGGGAACGGTGGCAGATTTTCTCCAGGGAAGCAGACAATGAGGCAGAAAATTCCAAAATGTTTTGGTTTGCAAGTTTCTATGATTTAAATCTCTAGATTTATGAAAGATATAAAGCATCAAGTTTAAAATAAGCACTCTTTTAAATATAACTCAATTTTATCAAATGTTGGCATTTTTGTCATATTTTTTAAAAGCCTTTTTTGTTATTGTTGTTGATGTTTTGTACCAAGGATTGGACTCAGGGGCAGTTTACCATTGAGCCACATCCCCTGCCCTATTTTGTATTTTATTTAGAGACAGCGTCTCACTGAGTTGCTGCACCAATTTGCAGTTCCACCAGCAATGTAGGAGTGTGCCTTTTATCCCACATCCTTGCCAACACTTATTGTGTTTATATTCTTAATAGCTGCCATTCTATTGGAATGAGATGAAATCTTACAATAGTTTTGATTTGCATTTCTCTAATTGCTAGCGATGATGAATATTTTTTCACGTATTTGTTGATTGATTGTATATCATCTTCAGAGAAGTGTCTTTTCAGTTTCTTGGCCAATTTATTGATTGGGTTATTTGGGTTTTTTTTTTTTTTTTGGTGTTAAAATTTTTGAGTTCTTTGTATATCCTAGAGATTAGTGCTCTATCTGATGTTCGCGTGGTAAAAATTTGCTCCCAAAATGTAGTCTATCACCTCATTGATAGTTTCTTTTGCTGAGAAGAAGCTTTTTGTTTGAATCCATCCTATTTATTGATTTCCTGATTTTAATTCTTGTGCTATAGGAGTCTTATTAAGGAAAGCAGTATAGAGATTCTTTGGAAAACTGAGAATGGAACCACCGTTTGACCCAGCTATTCCACTCCTCGATCTATACCCAAAGGACTTAAAAACTGCATAACACAGGGACACAGCCACATCAATGTTTATAGCAGCACAATTCACAATAGCTAAACTGTGGAACCAACCTAGATGCCCTGCAGTTGATGAATGGATAATGAAAATGTGGTATATATACATGATGGAATATTACTTAGCAATAAAAGAGAATAAAATCATGGCATTTGCAGGTAAAAGGATGGAGTTGAAGAAGATAATGCTAAGAGAAGTTTGCCAATCCCAAAAAAACAAATGCCGAATATTTTCTCTGATATAAGGAGGCTGATTCATAGTGGGGTTGGGGGCAGAGCATGGGTGGATTAGATGAACTCTAGATAGAGCAAAGAGGAGAGAGGGGAAGGAAGGGGGTTTGGGGGTAGGAAAGACAGTGGATTGAGATGGACATCATTACCCTAAGTACATGTATGAAGACATGAATGTTGTGATTCTGTGTACAACCAGAGATATGAAAAATTGTGCTCTATATATGTAATATAAGTTGTAATGCATTGTGGTGTCATATATAACAAACTAGAATTAAAAAAAAAAATAAGATTACCACCAGCACTGCAGTTGGCTAAAGTCTCTTTTAAGAGAAGTCTTTCAAATTGTGGAAACCCACAGTCTACCCCTTCTTCAATTCAGATGTAACCACTATCTTAAATTTGTATTTATTACACTACAAATAATTTCATACTTCATCATAATTAATAATATATCTATATATGAAAATATATATTTGAAATAGAATACATTTTCATCATCTGTTAGCAGTATGTTTTATGTTTTTAAAAATTTATATAATCATTGTACATTTAAAAATAATTATATGCTATATTTGTGATCCTAGTTAGTATTTTTAAGTTATATATTATTTTATATCCATTTTCTCCACTGATGGGGGTTTAAGTTGTTTCCAACTTTTTTTCCTATGATAAATAGTTAGGTTTTGGTGCTCTCAAATGGAACGTAAACAATTTTACACAACATCAACATCAAACAAGGCCATCTGTGACTATAATAGATCAGGACAAAAAGCAGGAGTTCTGCGTAATCCTGTTTGGATATAGACAAAAACATGAACATTGTTTAAACAACGAAAATGACTAAACGCACCTCTTTCCTGGCTAATAAGAGTGCTGCTGCTTTTTTAGCAATTATAGCCTTAGATGTGCCCTAGACTTCTCTCCTTTTAGGTAAGATTTAATAAAATACTCAATTATACAATTATCCCACTTCTCAACAGTATTCATTTCGGAGCAAAATCAAACTTCCTAAGCCTCTCCCCATATCGCCAGGCACAGTCCACAGCAGAGATGACTCACGGTGAGCATCCTTCCCCAGCACAGCAAACAAGCAACCCAAATGGTTATAGGAGCCCTCCTAGTGGCCCTTGGCTGTAGAGCCCCAATTTCAGTGAGTCTGAAGATCTTTTTACTTATATATCAGCAAAGATGACCATCAGGGGTGCAAGCTGACTTTGACTCTGAGATGATCAGAGGGGGCTTCAACTCTGTTTCCTCTTCTTGCATTTACTTTCCTGAACTGCCTATTTCATGCCCTTTTCCCATTTCTCTATTGTTTTTTTTTTTTTATTTTGCTATATATTTATAAGGGTTCTTTATATTTTCAGGATACATCCCTTTTCTGGGTGCTGTAAATATTATTCAAATCTATAGATTTTACTGAAAATTGGTTTTTATACACTCATTTTTATTGCTTTTGCAATGGTTTGTGATTCTTGTACCTTAAGGAATTCTTCCCTATTTAAAGGGAATAGATATATATTT